GGTTCAAGTTACAACTATACTCTGCAATGAATTAGGCCTTAACAATATTTACAACGAATCCTTACACTAAGCCCTAGTTTAATATAACTAACATAATCATTGCTTATACCTAGCTTGTTACATATTACCAATTTATCATCATAAAAGTCTCGACTAGTTTGCCGTGAAAATTCACTGGTCTTGGACATAATTCTTCGTAGAGCGACTTCAAACAATGTTTTTTTAAATGCATTTTTACGTAGCTTTCAGGAAATTGTGTTTCTACCATGTTTCAAGTTCTTGCACTTATTCTGAAGTTTGTCGAGTCGTGCTTTAACTCTCTGCAAATTTGTTTAAAAAAATTATTAACAACTTGTTTCTTGCTTCGTAGAAATAAAATTATCTGAGATATTTCCTGTTACTGTACAGCACAGAGAGATTTTATTTTATCCTTGGTCTGTTCAGTTACAAGGTAGATTTTGGATCAAACGAACACGCCAGAACGCGCAGAATGGACTGGACACGGCGTGATTTCAACTTCCGGTGGTCGTGTCACCGTCCTCGCAATACGATCATGACAGGTTTTTGCAAGTTTCACGCTACACTCTGCACTTCTGCAGTGAGTGAGTCTGCTTGTCTTTGTTAAATCTATCCACTTTACAGTACTTTGTCTCATGGTCAACTGTTTTGTTCTCGCCACGTTGACGTTTCGACGACATCTGTGCATCTAGAACTGAACAGACGCTCGGCAAAATGAAAACTATTTGTTAAGCTTTAATTCTTGCTTTGAACCTAGACTTGCCATACAGCGACTTAGGACTGGTGCATGCTACGGGTGTACACGAGCAAAGAATCGTGCGTATGCACAAATTCGCTCTTCAGAGAAAGGCACGGTTTTGGTGCAACAGCACAGGGTAAAATCGAAGAAGGCACAATTCTAGCACTCTTTAGCACAGTTTAGGCACAACTTAGGCACAGTTTAGGCAGCCTGAAATTTAAACTGGGTGGCAGCGCAGATATCGAAATTTTACATGGGCTTTCTGCCCAAGGTGATCTGAAGCACTTTAAATTCGCGATTTAGAGAAATTGACCTCCTTGTGCAGGGCTGTGTTTGTGGGAGTTTGTATTTTCCATGTATGGAAAACTAATTTATGCAACGTTTGATTCAAGATGGAAGCGAGTCAAGCCAATTATCTGAACATAATGAAGATCTAAGGCGGTGAGAAAATCTGAAGATAAGGTTCGAGGCAAATTCTCAAGCACTTT